GAAATTGCTGTCAGGGCACCGAAGACAGGCCACCATACTTTGCTGATCGATCTAGACTCTGGTGAGGACGACGAGACGGTGGTCCAGTCGGAGGACAAGAACAAAGCCAAGGGAACCCACCGCTCCAACTGCCTCTGGGGTCGCCGGGGCTAATATTTGAAACTACTGTGTTAGATTAACCCCCAATCCCCATTCCCCATGTAGTCAATCCGGATCGAAACCCTAAAATCGATCGCTACTAAAAACTCATGATGATGTTATGATCATTCCGATGGCTATTTACCAGGATCGAATCTAAACACAGATTGAATTCGAAATAGTAAGTGAGGAGGTGAAAATAGTGTTTACCGCCATTGTCGAAGTGTTGCAGGTGATGTTGCGGATCCGGTGATGGAGGCTGGTGGTCGCCTTGCTGTTCTCCGATCCGCTAAACGCCACCGACGCCGATGAGAGTGGGAGTGTGGAGAAAGGGGAGAGAGAGCGGCGAGGGTAATTATTGTCAGTGCTTCAGGAAGCAACGCGACTTCTCGAGCGTGTATCAATTTACATCCGTATTTAGACAAATCTAAGACAAGAATTTTGAGACGGAGGGAGTATCAATTTAGACATTTCTAGCGGGCCTGGTTAAGAGTTGCTTTAAGTTAAATGCGATGCAGGCCAACAGTGAATGCGGGCTAACAAACACGGTAGAAAACTCAAGCCAGTGTCTTGCAGACAGGCAAGCACGCAAAGCATGTTTGGAAGTAAGTAGGGATCAGTTGGAGCGAGTCAGCCACAGGCACACATGCACGTGTAGTGCATCTTCTGTATAGCAAAGTTGGTTTGTAGGCGGGAGGGGAGTGACCGTGTCAAACGGTCAAACCAGCCCAGGCAAATCGCGTTTGCGGTCAAATTGTGCGGCTGACCAAAACTGTAAGCATGATAGGGACGGGACACGGCCGTCAACGTGGCAGAGATTACAGGCAGCCGACTGACCGTCGCTATAACACTTACGACAATCCTGTTCCGTTCCGTATCAGCAACGTTTATTATTACTGATCAAGTCCAGCTGTTTCTTGACCGAGTTTTCCATGACACGCGAGAGGGATTATCATTCAACTGGTGCCAGGGGACAAAAGTCATGTGTACATTGGGTTGGGTATTTCCTTAGACTTCGACAGATGGCGGTGGTGACTCCTCCTTTTGTCCTTTGATGTTTGTATGACAGCCGGTTGGAGAATTTGACATTGGGCAAAGGCTCTTTACTCTCTACACATGATGTGAGAATGCACATCTGCTTGCTCTTATGCCGGTGCAATCGCCATCGGACGTGCTGCACCGCAGGCACGTAACTGAGTCTTAACCTCTGTTTTTCCACCTGGCGTTCAACCGCTCGAATCTAATCACTCTTTTTTACTCTCTCCCTTTTATATCTGTATATGTATGTACAAAATTACTGCTAGAGATACAGGTAAACAAGTTATACACAGCATGTGCCGGGCCATAATTCTATGTGCAACATCCATTCACCCGCAAGTGTGCTCTGACTCTGATCTGTGGTGCCAAAGTGAAGGATGCACACCAGCAATGTATCCACCTTTTCTCCCAAACGGTGCAATGCGTCCCTCTATGCCAGGTGCTTTTATGTACATCACGCTTCTGCTAGGGGTTTTTTCTTCTGACGGAACACTTCTGCTAGGTGAAAATCGGAAGACGATATCACGTCGCAGCATACAGTGGTCACCTGAACAGAAAATCAAACATTGTGCGTCAGTCAAGTCTTCGTTGAAAGCAAGCCAAACCACGTCCCCAGCATACTTACTGCCCTAATGATCATATGGGGTAACATACTGGATGCAAACAATCAACTAGGAGTTATAGTTAAAAAGTTGGCAATCACTAGAAAATTTACAGGGGATAAATACAGCAAAATGAAACCCTACGAATGGGTTTTCTCGGGGTTCGACAAAACATATGCGCCCATCATGAGGAAGATGTTTTCCGGTACATACCCTTTTTTTTAAATGGAGGCAAAAGCTTTGCCTCATCCATTAAATAAGAGAGAATAGTGTTTGTTACAAGTAACCCGAATACACGACATGAGATTACTCTCGCAAAATAATGGACCCTAATTTGTTTGCACCGGCGATGATCCAAAGGTTGGCCTCGGTCAAGATGGAGGCAAGCAATATAGTCGGCGGTGCGCTCTTGTGCTTGAAGACTCTTGCGTTTCGCTCGTTCCACATAGTCCACGAAACAAGCATGGTGAGAGACGCCTTTGCTTGGTGGTTTGGCGTGTCATTGTCGCAAGTACTTGCCCACCAAGCCTCAACCGAGTCGAACAAGGGCCAGCCGGTGGTGTCAAGTCCGAGAATATGGTATTTGTCAATGATCAAAGACCAAAGCCTTCGAGTGAAGTGGCATTTGTAGAAGAGATGAGTCCCACGTTCTTGTACTCTCTCTTGCAGAGAGGGCAAAGATCACAATTGGGCCACCCACGCTTCGCCTCTATCGTCGGTCCAAATTCTATCTTGTAGAGCCAATCAAGCAAAGAACTTGACTTTTAGAGTAGCCCAAGCCTTCTAAACCATTTTATCCATGGGTGAGAGAACCATCCCTAAGAATTGCGCCTTGTATGCGGATGCGCCGAGTAGAGCCCACTAGCCGTATGCTTCCATAGGATGTCGTCCTCGGTGAGCTCATCGAGTTGGACCTCATGCAAAAGCGCCCAAAGGGTGAAGAACTGTGTGATGTGCTCTGCGGAGACGTTGGCAGGATGTTTGATCTTGAGAATACACGCGTTGTGTTTGAGGGCCTCCTGAACCTTCCAATTCTTTCTCTTAGACGCTTCATGAATGAGCGGGGCAATGTCTTTTGGCTTGCGTCCAAGGAGCCAAGGTGAATCCCAAAAGGGGGTCTTTGCACCGTTACCAACAATGATAGTGGTGGATGCATAGAAGAAATTCAGGTCCTAGTCACATGGGTTCCCCATCCCCACCCACATCTTGGTGGGCTCCTTCCATTCATACCACGGCCATCGCAACCAGAGGGCACGCGTAAACTTGTTGGTGTTGAGAACCCCAAGTCCCCCATATTGAAGTGGCCGGCAAACAATCTCCCAATTCACCTTGCATTTTGCACCCGTCGTCTTGTCCGGACCCCGGACCGGACCAAAGGAAAGCTCTCTCAAGCTTGTTTACATTGAGAAGGATGGTTGGCGGGATGACCAGCTGTGTGGCGGGGTAGACCACCTGGGAGGTGATCACGGACTTGATAAGAGTCGTCCGTCGGATGGTGGTGATGTTTTGGCCCTCATAAGTTGTTAGCTTGCTCGCAACCAAAATAAGAGAGGGAGACCAAAGTATCGCACAGGGAAGCGAGTCCTAGTTGCCGACAACCTTTGGGTTAGGCGACCCAAATCAAGATGGTTGCAACAGATGGGCACAAAAAAGCTCTTTTGGAAATTGGTGCACAGTCCTGTGACCTCACCGAAGCCCCTCAAAGTGCTTGCAAGGTTATCGACGTCTCTTTTGATAGGAGCAAAGAAGACTGCTGTGTCATCCGCATAGAGAGAGGTCCTCATCATGGCTCCCCTTCCCCTAATTTTATGGAGGAGCTCTTCTCTCGTAGCAACCTCAAGAATTCTTTGGAGTGAATCAATAGCGATGAGGAGCTCAGGAGGACCGCTATCCAATCCATAAATTTGCTTACAAATCATCGCCATTGGAGTAGGTCGAGCAAATACTCCCGCTTCACGGTGTCGAAGGCCTTCGGATGTCAAGCTTGAAGAGGGAAGGGGTCTTGCTCTTGTGAAGGCGCCGAGCGAGATTGCAAACATACAAGAAGTTGTCGTGGATGCTTCTTTTGATGAAAGCACTTTGGGCGCTGGAAACGAGCCTTGTCATGTGGGGGCCAGGCCTTAAGGAGAGCACCTTCGCAATAATTTTCACGATCGCGTGGATGAGGCTGGTGGGCCTATAGTCGGCGATTCCCTCCGCCCCTTCCTTTTTAGGCAAGAGCGCCACATTTGCGGAATTGAGCCACTCGAGGTTTGAAGTGTGAAGGGAGTCAAAATGACTAATGACCCTCATGAGGTCGGCCTTGCAATGTTCCAACACCTCTTGAAAAATAGGCCTGTGAAGCCATCCGGCCCCGGGGCCTTGTCACTTGGCATGTCACTTGTCGCTTCAAGGACCTCACTCTCGGTCATCGGGAAGTCAAGGCCATGGAGGTCGAGCGGTTCCAAATTTAGCTCATCCCAATTGCAAACTTTGCGGCTTTTGGGGCCTCCCTTCATGACATTGGAAAAATGATCCTGGATTAATTTCTCTTTGGCTTCATGCTCGGTGACCCACCCATGCTCGTTCTTGATTTAGTGGATATGGTTTTTTCTCCTTGCATTAACTTGACGGCGGAAGAATTTAGTACTCGCGTCCTTCTCCCTAAGGTTGCAAATTCTTGCACATTGCTTCTTGCGAGATCTTTCAAGCACAGCCAAGGCAATGACTCTTCTCTTGAGCCTAGCCCATAGTTGACGCTCGTCGGCAGAAAGGAGCCTATCCTCTTGGGCAATGTCGAGGCGGAGAATCACCAACAAGGCGGCTAGGTGTGACTTACTGAACTACTGAAACTTCTCGTTCAACTATTCATGATGAACTTTATAGACTGCTGGTGCCGCTAACCATTAACCAACCTACACATATACTCCCTCCTTCCGAGAATACTTGTCATCAAAATGAATAAAAAAGGATGTATCTAGAACTAATATACATCTAGATACATCCCCTTCTGTTCATTTTGATGACAAGTATTTCCGGACGGAGGGAGTAGCATGCTAGAAGATACTCCCTCCGTTCACTGTTATAAGATGTTCTAACTTTTTTCTGAATCGCATGTACATAGACGCATTTTAGTGTGTTTGTTCACTCATTTCAATTTGTATGTAGTCATATTGAAATATCAAAAACATCTTATAATAGTGAACTGAGGGAGTAGATGAAAAGTAACATGTCAACATACCATCAAGAGGCTTCACAGTTTGCATCATCCTCCCCCTTTCTCGAATAAGTTTTCACCTTTCTGGAGAATTCCTTAACTGAGGAGTGGTCTGAAAATGTCAGGGGAGTGTCTTCAGCAATTGGATCCCTCACATAGAACAGTCTAATGGGTGCACTTCCAGTTCCATCAGTTGGAGGTTCTTCAGGTATATCACGGTACAAATGTTTGATAATGAAGAGAGCAGTATCATGATCCCGCCAGTAGTTGCTACAGGAATCAATCCAGAGGCTTGTTAAAAATGTGAAATAGACATGGGGAAAAACAAATGGAAACCAACAGAACCGATGAGTGAGCTCACGTATGAGATCCCAGAGCGGATAAATATGGATGTTGAAATGTTTTCTCCTGCAATTAGATTATTATAAGATTGTAAGCTCTGAAATATTTGCACTCACTGCAAATGCAATCAAGAAAGGCAAACTAGTCCAGCCAAAATGGAGAAGGGGAGGGTAAGCATGTCAAGTTGACAGGAGGGGACTAGGGACCCGGCCAGTTATTAGCTTGCCAGTGGGTACATGTTGTCCACCACCCGAAAGTCCTGAGCTGCCTTTTGAAAACGCTAGATGAGAATTGAGAACACATGCAAGGTGTGCGCCAAGCTACAACATGGCTTATGCTAAAGCAACTGCACAATACCATTTACGTGCATAGTGGAGCACGTGCATTTTAATGACTAAAGTAAGCAACAGTACACCAATACAAAGAGTAGAAAATGGCAAGAGCTTAATAACCTGAAGCACATGATCAACTCGACCATCCGGTGAACCAGTCAGCCTTTCCATCATCATGGAACCATATGATCTCTCCTCCTCTTTGGTGCTCTCATCGTCCTCTAAATAATAACAATTGATCAGAACACTACTTGTTTCTCGCTCAGATTGTGTATAAAAGCTAATAAAAACTGATGTATCAATTACCTTCCGTGTCATTTTTGCTCAGTGATAACAAGGCAGCTACCGCTTTGACCTAAACAGAACAAACAAACCAACTCATCAGGTAAGAGCCATGCGCTTCTCTATCATTCACATGTATCAAAGGTTAATACATCAAACCCCACCCAGATTCACATAATTGTTTAAAACTTTATGCACTAAATCCATATAAGCGTATCGGAACAAAAGGCAAACCTTCAATGACTTGAATTGACGGGCAATAGCCTGAGAACGTGCAGCAACGTCTTCTGTGAACTCCTGTAACATATCAAACCAAATTAGTTATATAAGAGAGAAATCAGCCTCAAGTTAGAAACAGACATGCTCCTTTGTGAGTTCGGTTAAATGACATAAAACCCACCTGCACTCCAACATGTATCCTCTTTCCGCCTCTATGGTAGGGTATAACAACAGGGCGCTTGTTCACATAATCTTCACATACAAGTGGTTCAACTCTGCAACAAAAGCCGACCTAGCCTTATGTGCCATGTTCCCCACTTTGCAACAGATTAAGTGCATTCTATTCCAGTAAAATAAAGGAACATATTTAAAAAGTGGCAAAGCTCTTAGTCCCTTCAGGGATATTCAGCAAAAGTGGTGAAGCTTATGTAACATGTTAATTCATACCAGATTGGCGTTATTTAGTTCCATTATGATATTGCATCTTTGGCCAGCTCTCTAAACAGAAGGTTAAAACAATAATATGCAAGGAAGCTACAAACCTGTATGCTACAGGATCGAAAGGATGAAAAACATTGAACATCTGCCTGCAGCATGGCATCTCTTCAACAACGTTCTTGTCTTGCCAATAATCTTGTCCCTTGCCTTTAAAAAAGAAGCTACGAATTTCAGAAATAAGATAGCAGATCATCAACTGCCAATTGCCAGGGGCAATGAGAAATCATAAGGTGGGTTAAGGTTCCCCACACACCTTTCCAAAATGAAAAGTCATCAAGACACTAGTGATACGGCAAGAAGATAGATGCATAAGCTATGCTAATAATGACTTTATAGTCATGAAGACACCATCCATGTTAATACAGCAGAGGGACACAACAATGCATCTA